TTCAAGGTGTTTTCAGCAAAAAATGCTTTGAATAATCCAAAAAAAATGACAGAAGATTATTCAAGGCGTTTTTAGCTAGAAATGCCTTGAATAACCTCATATAATTTTTGTGAGGGGATTATTCAAAATGTTTATGGCCAAAAATATCTTGAATAATCCTAAAAAAATGACAGGAGATTATTCAAGGTATTTTTCGTCAAAAACACATTGAATAACCTTATTGAATTTTTTGTAAGTGATTATTGAAGGCATTTCTGGCCAAAAACCCCTTTAATAATCCCTCATAAAAATTTATTGAGAGAATTATTTAAGACGTTTTTGGCTAGAAATACCTTGAATATTATTAAATTTTTTGTAAGGAATTATTCAAGGTATTTCTAGCAAAAAATAGCTTGAATAATTCAAAAAAAATGGTAGGCTTATGAATTTAAATCATTTTCTTGACCTCCACCTCCCATCAACTCTACATACTTATTACCTCCCACCAACTCTCTCTATCTCTTATCAACTCTACAAATTTGAATCCATCGACACCCATTTTGTTTTAGAGCTAAATGAAATTTGAAGCATCAAGACTCTCATTATTTCTCAAAGATATTTTTTATTTTTTGCATTTCAATTTTATGTCATCGAGCCTACCTATTTTGTTTTGTATTTTTAACTGTATTGGATGAATCTAAGCTCAATTTTTATCACCTCAAAAAGTAGAAGAAGGCTTGAAAATGTTATTAGCATCACTGTTTTTGTTAATGGAATAGCTTTAATAAGAAAAATAGATGAAAACTTCATTTGTTCTTCTATGGATTGGTGGCTTCTTGATAAATGTGACTATAGAACATGTAGCTAGGGATGAGCTTCTCTTCTTAATCTAGTAAACAACTTATCCTTAGACCTTTTAGATAAAAACATCACAGAAAAAAATTCTTCTTTTTAAAATTTTAATGCCTATTTTGCTTTTATAAGAATTTATTAAATAACAATATAGCTATCAGGAAATGAATTGTGTGACTCTAGCATTGGAACAAGAGTTGCAGTAGATCAATATGCATATAATCTTCAAAACATTATTCATAATATATATAAAAAGATTTGAGGTTTAGCTATTAGTAATAGCACTAAGAGGATTCTTTGATGTAAACTTCGAGCACCATGTTTGCAGACATTCAAACATAGATGTTAATTTTTTTCTGGATTTAGTACAATGATGTTAGTTCTTAATTTATTTTAAATTTGTGGATTATAAAACAATTTGATTGTTATTTTATTTCAAATGTTATTAAATTTTTTACTTTTTGTGTATTTTTACTTTATATGAAATCATATCATATTATAATTATAAATAAATTAATATTAATAATTGACAATATAATTCAAAAAAAATTTTTTTACCAACACCTTAAAATTTATACCAATGCGTTTTATTATTGAAATATTTCAGGTGATACTGACAGTCATCACGAACCATCGGTAAAAGTTAAAACATATAAGGCTATATTGATGGGTATTGATCATTGGTAAAATATATACTGATGGAGACATCGTTGGTATAAGTTGAAAAAAAATTAAAATAAATGAGTCTATACTGACGAGCATTAACCTTTAGTATAGACAAAAAAAATTAAAACATATAAGTCTATACTGACGGGTGTTAACCATTGGTAAAAGGTATAACAGTTTAACACACAACAGATGTTATACCATTAGATATACATTTACTGATGGTCTTGAACCATAGGTATATCTCTATAAGCTATTTCGATAACTTAAAAATCATCAGTACAAGTCTATACCGACAAGGGATATATTGACGGTTAAAAATTTATTGAAATATATATTTTGACCGTCAGTATAAGATTTATGGTGCTATATTGATAGATTTTAAAGTTTTACCGACACTTTTTTTAGCGTCACTGTACGTCTGATTTCTTATAGTGTAAATTATATAAAATTGATCATTCGTTTGTGTATCTTATCCTAATAACTAGGGTAGGAGCTCGACTTCGCTCGGTTTGTTAGAATAATTGTTAAAACTAGTGTTCATATCAATAGGAAAATTAAGGAAGTAAGCAACAAATTTTTTTTAAACAAACATAAGGAGTTTAGGTAAACTGGTAATTAAAAAGGAGTTTAACATTAAGAATTGCTAATAGAAGAAAAATTCTATACAAAAATTAAGGAAATAGAAACAAAAACTTCCTCGAGCAAGCGTTAGTAGTTCAACTAAACCGGTAATTTAAAAGAAGTTCAACATTAGGAGTTGTTAATAAAATTAAAACTACCATAAAAAGGTTAAGGAAGTAAGCATAAAAACTTTATCAATTAAGCATTAACAGTTTAGGCAAATTGTTGTAGGTAATTGAGAGAAACCGTTGATCACCAGTTGCTAATATATGTGATAACTTTGAGCTTTTTTGGACTGACTTTCATGAAGATGCAATGGTAATGCATATTGAAATTGTTGTTATTTACTAATTGGCCCCAACCTCCAAAGAAAAGCTTTATTTTTACCTTCATAAATATATTGAACTTCTCATTATTGGTCACTGCTTACAATGGAAAAGGTGATGAGTGATGGTTTTTAAGCAAATATTTTCTAGCAAATTGACTAGGAATGTGGTGTTATCAATGCAGTTCTCATTTAAGTTAATTAAGAGAAACAAATTTAGTATAATAATGTGTGAAACATGAGGTTATTGCTCAATACCAATATATAAGAAGCTCGCATATTTATCTTAATCAACTTGCGATCAAACATAAAGATGTCATTTTCATAGTTGAAGTTTTCTTCAAAGTTATACTCTTCTTTATCAAGATCTTTAGTATTGTAGAGAATAAATTTCTCAAAATGTGAATCTAAATCTTCTAAGTTAATAATTTCTACCTTATTGTTTGTTAGTTGATGTGCATTAGATGAGCTAGCTTGGTTCCGAGCATTATAGAGTGCTAGTGAAAAGATAAAAAGGTTAGATTAAGATATTGTTTGGAAATGAAAGGCAAGAAAATAAGGAATTATGAATGTTTTATGGTTTGGATAGTGTTGGTGGTTAGCATAGTTTTGTTGCAAGTGAAGAAATATCAAATATGTTGTTGGTCAAATTATACTTAAAGATAGCAAAGTCTCCTAACTCAAATAGTGCCTAGCAACAAAATTTCTCTAATATTAAAAATTCAAAAAATTATAAAATAATTTCAAAATTTTTTTAGGAAATTAAAAAAAAAAACTTAAAAAATTCTGAAAAGATTTTTAAAAAATTCTAAAAATTCTAGAAAATTTTAAAACTTAAAAATTTTCAAAAAATTTCCAAATTTTAAAAAATTCAAAAATTTTAAAAGAATAAACAAAATTATGATTTTAATAACATTTAAAAATTTATTAAAATTAAAAAATAACAAAAACTCAAAAAATAAAAACAGTAAATTTTATTTTTGAAAAATATAATAATATATAAAAATTTTTAAAAAAATTATAAATTTTTACATATTTTTTAATCTTAAAATTTTTATTTTTTTTTATATATTTTTGAACTTTTAAATTTTTTTTTTACTTTTTTGGGTTTTATTATATTTTTAATTTTTTTATTTTTTTGACATTTTTTTAATTTCGAGGAATGTTTGAAAATTTTGAAATTATTTAATTTTTCAAAAATTTTTAGATTTTTTCTTATTTTCAGTTTTTTAAGTTTTTGTATTTTTTAAACAGTAAGAAAATTTAATTTTTATAAATTTGAATTTTTGTGAATTTTTTTATTTTTTTTAAAAATTATCAAAATTTTAAAATTTTCTGAAAAGTATGTTAATTTTTATAATTTATTAAAATATTTCATATTTTTAATTTTTTTAAAAATTTTAAAAATTATTTTTTATAATTTTTAAAAAAATTTAAAGTTTTTTAGAATTGTTTTGAAATTTTTAGAATTATTTAAAATTTTTGAGAAATTAATTTTTTTTTTAATATTTTTATATAGTTTTTTAAAATTAATTTTTTTATAAATTTTAAACATTTTAAAAATATTTTAAACATTCTTTTAGAATTTTTTAAAATTTTTTAGAATTATTTTAAATTTTTATAAGTTCTTAAAACTTTTTTGATGTTTTTTAAACTTTTTAGAAATTTTAAAATTTTTAGAATTTTAAAAATTTTTTTAAAAAATTTTGAATTTTTTTTAAATTTAATATTTTTTGATTTTTTTTAATAATTAAAAAAAAATTTAGACTTTTAAAAAATTTTTTTGAAGTTTTTCAGAAAATTTTTGAATTTTTTCTAAATTTTTGTTTTAAAGATGGTATGACATTAATGATACAATACTAATTAGATTTTTTTGAACATGTGTGAGCATTTTATTGGATATTCATTTTACGTCAGTAAAGTTAACTAACGACATTAGTCTTAAATACTAACATGATAATGGATTTAAACGTTTATGTATCAATATGATAAAAAAAATTCTTTAAATACCAATATGATAAAAATTATAAAACTTAGGGGGCAAATTTATATGTAACCCTATTCAATTCATATGTATTTGAAATTATAATTATTTTTGTTCTAATATACGAATATTTAATTCCTTGACAAACAATAATAAGTAAATGCGTTCTTTACTTTACTCATAAAGTTATTTTCTTCCAACCATTTCCCTAATGAAAAGATAAAATAAAAGTTAACTTTTTTCTTTAGAATTATTGTGAATTGATGAAACGTCACTTATTTGACGTCACTTATTTGACGTCATTTAAATTTGTATGCTGTAGAATGGTCACCTACTGGTTTTTTGCCTTGTTCTATAATGAACTAATGGCCCTTCCTGGTCTTATTATAAATATTTGAGGTTTGCAAACGATAGACATCACCTCTTTGCAGACTATAGACCTCACCTCTTTGCAGACTATAGACCTCACCAGGAAACCAAAACACCAAGTGACAATGAGTTCCGACGTTGGCATGATCATTAATGCAACTTCAATCACAGTTGCAACTGGAACTTCAACTGCAGCTGCAATCAGCACTCTGACACAAGAGAAGTTAGAGGAGCTTAAGAAAATTCATGAACCTAAGAATGAAAGTCTTGGTCTAAATCTCAAACCTATAGTCGAAGTCATTGAGCATATTTTCCATAATATTGATGGTAATTTCGAGGTATTAAAAACTTCTCTCTACTTTGTCTTTCGGCTTTCACTTATGCTTTGATCATATGCAGTTACTGATATAATGAGTTCATTTGTTGTAGGGTACACATGGAGTCCTAAACGGCATGACCAGCCTGACTGGCTCTGATGGCATTAATCAAGCTTTGGCCGATATACACAAAATCTCCTGCAAGGTTGTTGCCTAACCCTCACTACATGCCTAGTTAAGTAGAAATCGATAGTTAGAGGAAAAAAAAGTGCAATCGTGTCTAAAATCCAAGCCAAGCTAGGCCTCGAGCTTGACATACCACCCCCATTGCTGAACAAAACATATTCATATGTGCCAAAGAAACAAAATAGAAATTTAAAGTTAAATCAAAATTTCAAATTACATATAGTAACAAAGATCATAACATTTATACATGTATTTCAGATGTCATGCAATCACTCAGGACAAGTTGTTGCAACGACAGTGTATCTGCTCGAAACGCTCAAACATTATTCATGGAACCAAAAAGTGGTGCTGGTCGTAGCAGCTTTTGCCTTGAGTTTTGGGGAGTTCTGGCTGCTTGTTAGTCGTCGCGATGAAGACCCAATTGCCAAATCTGTCAATCTCCTGAAAGGTTGCTTGCTGATACCCGATTTCAATGAGCTTGTCAAACTTTTGAGGGCCATGATGGTTGCAGTGAACAGCAATTTTGCCTTCTGTGTGCTTCCTACTTCCTATATTAAAAAAGAGACATCCTCAATGATGGGTGCTATCAAATATTTCCCCAATCCTTCATGTCAGATCATTTGCCGTGTTGTATACATTGCAAGCACTTTAGGCAAAGAAAAGTAAGCCCTCTACAGCTCTAACCTGATAGTCAAGTAATGTATATAGAGTAAAATAACCAACCCTTTTACTCTGATTTCAGGGTTAATAACTTGAATGATTTCGCAGAAGAAATTGGCAAAATGAATACTACCCTTCAAGAGAAATTAAAATGTTGCCAAGAAGAAGTTGGTGAGTATCTTTGAATATATATTATTACCGAGTTTGGAGCATAGTTAGTTGGTTAATGACACCGCCCTTAGGAGGTGGCACAAGCAGGTCTGAAATTCAACACCTGCAACACCTTTTCTTATCCTCATACTGAACTCCTTTGTAAAAAAAATTCATCATTATCAGTTGTGATGTATAAACTGTTAAATTGGGTATGTACTATAAATTTTTACTTGATACAAATATTTTTACTTGGCAAAGCTCAAAAGGTTTTGACAAAACTCTCGATTGATGTGATGCAGATGAACATAGACAAAAAGAGTATCAATACATTTGCGATCTTATTGGTCAATCTAAGGACCAGATACAGATTATCGCCAAATTAACTGGCAAAAACGAAAATCAGGTCGGTTCAATTACATTTGTTTAATTTAAGTCCCTTGTATTTAGCTAAAGCTTTTTTCAAATTGGATGATTGACAAATCGATTCCTTCTGCTACTGAAATAGGTTCCTGAAAGACTGAAAGACCGGCATGTTATACTTCTTATATCAGATTTTAACATCTCCATCGAAGAGATTAAGGTTCTTAATCAGCTGATAAAAAAGGATCACTTGTACGAGATGATATGGATACCATTTGGGGAAAGGTTATCCAGTGAAAGGAATAAGTTTTTGGAGCTGAAAAAATATATGATATCGTTTACTTTCTTTGAGCCCTTCGATATTGAACAAGCAGTAATCGAATTCATCAAAAAGGATTGGCATTTTATAAAAAATCCAATTGCTGTGTCATTAAAAGGAGGAGAAGTTACGTGCCGCAATGCACTACCCATGTTGTTGACATGGGGAAATTCGGCCTTTCCTTTCACTGATAAAACAGAGAAAGATAAGTGGGATAAGATGGATAAGAAGTGGAAGCTTGATCTCTTGGTTGATGAGCAGATCATCGGCCAGGACATAGAGTCATGGGTACATAGTCTCTCCTCTGCCCTTATAATTATATCTATAATTATTTAAACACAACAATATATTTTAAAACACCGACCAAGGAGCGAAAGCGCATGGACAAGCAGGACCCTAAATATTGAAAAACAAGAAAATTTATTTCTGCACACTAAAATTTTTCCAGAACATCTTTTCCAAAAAATATGTATATATATATATATATATATAAATTCATCCACAATTTTTTTGTATATTATAATTAGACACCTCAATAAAAATTCTGAATCTGCACCAACCAAACATTAGATATCAGTAATTATTTTTACATTTAGTTCACTTCTCTGAGTCTTGATTCGATTGCTATCTGATCCTTGATTTATCAGAAGAAGAAAGAGACAGTCGTATGCTTTTTTGGTGGTGCAAATATTGAATGGATCAAGAATTTTACTGCCGAAGTAAAAGTTGCTGCAGAGGCTACCGGTGTTTCCTTAAAAATGGCTTACGTGGGAAATAACAAAGGCAAAGGGCTGGCGAGGAACGAGCTTAGTCTTGCCAAAATCCATGTCATCGAATCTGAGTTTCAGTGGCATTTTTGGGCCCGGTTTAAGAGCATATTGCAGACAAAAATCCAACATGGTAAAACCTGTAAAAGTGATCGCATAATGCAGGAGACCATGAAAATACTTAACTATGATGGCAGTGGTAAAGAATGGGCAATATTCGGCATGGGATCAGATGTGATGGTCACAATGAACGGAAAAACAGCTATAACAATCATGTCAAAATACAAAGAATGGAAAAAGGATGTAGCAAAGCCTCGGTTTTTTCTCCAGGGAATAAGAAGTTATATGACCAAACTGTCGGTTGATCATGGCTGCATCGAGGTTCACCTTCCCGTTCTCGGTCAGCTTCCAGGGATAGTATTCTGCCCCAAGTGTTACAGAGAAATGGAGATGTATTACACATATCGCTGCTGTGATGAGTAACTAGGAAACTATGTATTACGCATAAGATAAGAAGCTACTATATAAATAAAGATCACTTTTGGGTTTTTAGCCCTGGTGATATGATGAAGTCCATGGTTAAGAGTCCAGGACTTGTGTGCTGTTTGATGGTGATATGATGAAGTCCGGGACTTGTGTGATGTGTGATGGTGATATGATGAAGTAGCCCATGGTTAGAGCCCAGGACTTGGGTGATGTGAGATATGTGATGTGTGATGGGAGACTTCAATAAAATATCATGGTTAAATGCCTACTTTTGTCCTATAATGATCTCCCTTTCTCTCTCTAGGAAATTTCGGTTATTGGCAATAATTAATAAAATAAGAATTTAAAACTTTTATAGTTGAATTGATTTAAACAATCATTTTTTTAAGATAATATTTAATATTTTTTCTATTTTTAGACTGTCACTTTTTATATAAATTAAAAATAATAATAATAAAACAAGAATCTATGCTATTTTTCATTGAATGGATAAGTAAGTTTAATTTAATCACGCAGACATACAAATTTATGTGACTAATTTTGAAATGTTTAATATAATATAAAACACATTGAAAAAATATTAGATAACTTATATTTAATAAGGAGATAGAGTACTTATAACACAAGAAGACGACATTTTCTTTTTACAAACAGAAAATTAACATATATTTTTAATGTTTTTTAGCACACCGAAATCACACAGTTGGAACACTCACGTTTAATCTCCAAACACGCAAATATAAAGGCAGAGTTTTGATAAAATAGATAAAAATTTACCACATGATATAATTAATATATGTAAATATTAAATAAAATAAAAATTTTTTTAATTTTTTTTGTATTTTCTCTCGCTCTTTTTTTAAGATTTTTTTGAGAATTCAATTAATTATAATTGAAGATTAATTGATTCAATTTTGTTACGTGATTAAATTTTATCTAATTAATATTTAATTGAGTTGAAATAAAAAATTAAGAGTTTGATTGATTGTAATAAAATATTAAGCGCTTAAATCATTATTGAATATAATTTAGGGACATTTTTTATCCTTTAATCTATTTCTTTTATATTATGTGGTGCATATTCTGAAATATTTTTTATTTTCCTGATGATAATTTGGATCATGCATTTTTTAATCTAATTGGGTACATTAGATGATGCATTTTGATTGTATATCAAGGGTAACAACATTGGACAGATCAAAATGTTCGAAAAATCAAATAAATATCACATCAAGCTTATGATCTCAGGAGGAACACATGTTTTCTTCCTATATCTCAGGAGGAACACATGTTTTCTTCCTACTCCAACGATTTCATGATTGCTTTTGTGATTGTTCTGTGGATTTTTTTCATCACTGCTTGGTTTGGAACATCTGATCTTTCATGTCGACTACAATCTTATTTCCTTTCACTCAGTATTATCATTGGTTCACCTTACATATAGTTTTCAATCTGATATTTTCTTGAATCTTTAAATGTCTAACTAGGGTCTCTAGTGATTTGACCTTCCATCTCCAAGGCTGGAATTATATTACCATTTGAATTAATAGTTTTATTGCCAAATTTCGACCTTGTGGGGATCTGAAAGTAAATTAATAGTTTTTTTTTTTGGAAAATTTGAATTATTTTCAAAATAGTAATATTGACCCAATCATTAAAATATCGTAAATATGTACTATTAAAATATTAAAATAATAATATTTTAAAATTAATATTTAAAAATAATAATATTGTATTAATTTTTTTTATTATTAAATACTAAAAATATTATAGTAATATTAAATTAAAAATATTTATTACTAATAATATGAAAATTTGAGATATTTATAATTAAAATATTAAAAGATATTTTATAATAATATTTTAATATTTTTTAAAATTTTCAATTAAATGAAGTAAAATATAGAAATTTCAAAGCCTAACCGAATCATTTTTATTAATTTTTATATAATTGTCAAAGTTTATAAAACAAAAACTAATATTTTATATCTAAATATATTTAAATATATTAAAAATAATAATAAATTAATAAATCAAATCGAATTGGTATAATTTGTTTTGGATAATTTGATTTTAAAGGAAGGCCGATTTAGATTATGACGGCTCTGAACATTTAATTTTGAAAAGTCCAATCAAAATTATATAATATATATTTTTCGTTTGCTATGTTAATCAAATTCGAGAGTGAATACTAAATACGAGTACATATTCAATATGGGTGTACTCATTTTTTTTTAGTGTTTTACATATATTTGGATTGTTTGAATTTTATATTCATATTTATCATATATATCATAAAAAAATTACAAAGATTTGAGAAAATAAGTGTAGCTGACTTAAAAAAAATAAAACACTATTGGTACTTGGACGAAAGCTAAAAAGTTGGTTTTTTTTTTTTTTTTTTTTTTTTTAACTTTGAATGAGTGTGATTTAATATTTATGATAAATCTATTACTTTTAAGAATTTGTGAATAATAATTTTGAATATAATAAATAGATAAATAATAATATAATTTTAATTCATCTTAAATTAAATACATAAAATTAAACTAAAAATTAAAAAAATTAACAAATAATAATTATAACGTGAGAGTTGATTTAATTTTTTGGCCGAATAACATAAATGAACTAATTATATAATGATATAATATATATTAAAGGATTTTGAAATTTTTTTGAGGGGCAAGGCCACCTCTAGTTACAAGGATGGTCTGCCAATGGATACAGATCCAATTTTAAAAATTTAAAATATTATATATTAATCAAAATAATTAAATTGAATCCGATCTTATTATATCATTATCACCCTTAATGCCATTAATTAATTACATGAGATAAAAGAGTGAATCAAATGATAAAATCCAATAATATGTGTATTGAGTTAGAATATGATACGACATAAATAATTTAAATACAAACATAATACAAATAGTCAAATGTGTCTAAATTTTAAATATGACACGATTATTATATAAGTAACAAGTAGCATGATATAATTAATATGTTTAAAATCAATCTATTTAAATGCTACAAGATCTAATACAATTGCACACAATTAATATGACTAATATCACTTGATACGATTAACATGGCTATTAACATATTTATTATAAACTATTTAAACCAAGAAATGTTTTTATTAATAATATAATTTTAACATAAATAAAAATAAAATCATAGCTTCAGTGAGGGTTAGATTAGCGTACAACACTAACATAAATAAAGTTAAAATCATAGCTCTAGTGAGGATTAGACTAGCATATGAAGCTGGTGAAGGAAGGAGAAGATGATGAGACTGAATGCTGTGGGTAGAAAATGAAGAAAGAAAGTTATTTAAGTTACGGCCTTTTTCTTATATAGGTGCAGCACATACAATAGCAAACCTTTGAGTCTTACCCCATTCATTTTGAAAAGGACAAAACATCTACTTCAAGATTACAGATGAAAATGTAAGACAAAATACTTACTTCAAGACTATTCATGAAAAAGTTCTCTACAAATTTTATCAAAAAACCCTTTACCATTCAGATTTTCCTATACATTATATTTATATATTAGGCTTAGCTGAGTTTATGGCATTATTATTTTAGTAACCTTATAAATTTATTATTAAAAAGTTAAAATAGTCTTTTAAACATATCGATACATGTTAATACCATAAAAAATTAATACAGGTTATATTATATATAATATTTCTTATAAGTTATAATATAAGTTATACAAGTTATTTAAACTAAATGTATTGTTTTAAATATCGAATGTATAATCTTTTACTACGTTATTTAGAATAAATTATATAAATTTGATCACTGATTTGTTTATCTTATCATAATAATCACAGTAGGAGCTGGACTTCGCTCAGTTTGTTAGAATTATTGTTAAAACTGGTGTTCATATCAATAGGAAAATCGAGGAAGTAAGCAGCAAATTTTTTTAAAGCAAACATAAGGAGTTTTGGTAAACTGGTAATTAAAGAGGAGTTTAACATTGAGAATAACTAATAGACGAAAAATTCCATAAAAAAGTTGAGGAAATAGAAACAAAAACTTCCTCAAGCAAGCATTAGCAGTTCAACTAAATCAAGAATTTAAAAGAAGTTTAAAATTGGGCGTTGCTTATAAAATTAAAACTACCATAAAAAGGTTAAGGAAGTAAGCATAAAAACTTCCTCAATTAAGCATTAGCAGTTTAGGCAAACTGTTGTATGTAATTGAGAGAAACTGTTGATCTCCAGTTGCCATTATATGTGATAACTTTGAACTTGCTTGGATCAACTTTCATGAAGTTGCAATGGTAATATAGATTCAAATTGTTGTTATTTGCTAATTGGCCCCAATCTCCAAAGAAAGCTTTATTTTTACCTTCTCAAATATACTGAACTTCTCATTATTGGTCACTGCTTGCAATGGAGAAAGTGATGATTGATGGCTTTTTGGGCAAATATTCTCTAGCAAATTGACTAGGAATGTGCAGTTATCAATGCGGTTCTCATTTAAGTTAGTTAAGAGAAACAAATTTAATATAATAATTTGTGAAACATGAGTTTATTGTTCATTACCAAGATATAAGAGGTTCACACATTTGTTTTAATCAACATGCAATCAAACATAAAGATGTCATTTTCATAGTCGAAGTTCTCTTCAGAGTTATACTCTTATTTATCAAGATCTTTAGTATTATAGAGAATAAATTTCTCAAAATGTGAATCTAAATCTTTTAAGTTAATAGCTTCTACCTCATTGTTTGTTGGTTGATGTGTATTAGATGAGCTAGCTTGGTTCCGAGCATCATAGAGTGCTAGTGAAAAGAAAAAAAAGGTTACATTAAGATATTGTTTGCAAGCGAAAGGCAAGGAAATAAGTAATTACGAATGTTTTATTGTTTGGATAATTTTAGTGGTTAGCATAGTTCTGTCGCAAGTGAAGAAAGAAATATAAAATATGCTGTTGGTCAAATTGTACTTAAAGATAACAAAGTCTCCCAACTACAAATAGTGG